GCGCATTAATCTTTCGTTTCATACGTCATGCCGCGAATGTCAGAGAGGGGACTAGCCGGAAAATTGGCACCGGTTACGTCTGTAATGAAAAGCAATAATGTACTTTCCGAACGCAGTTCAATGACCTCGTCCTTTTTGTTCTGTTTTTACAACAAAAAAACCGAAGATCATTCTTAGTCATTTGTCTCCTGTTTGTTTTTTTTAGATTGCATTGCTCGTTAGATTGCCTACTATCTGTACTGCCAGTTGCTTAGAATGTAAATCCTTAAGTACTTTCTTTTTACTCTTCTACTAATCAAATTCGAAACGAATCATGTCATCCACCTGATTTTTGTCTAACGTTGATGGCTTCTCTGCGGGAGAGGTATCTTTTTACAACGTGAAACCACTACCATTTTACGCATGTATCAACTCGTTTAACTGTTTTTTTTTGTAATTTTAAATATTATTTTAAGGCAAACAAGTTTTATTAAAAGGATTAATTTGTGTACGTGGAGCCGGACTGACAAATAATAAATTTTATGCATAATTTCATACCGCGTATCGAAATGAAATGAACCTACCTAAAGCATGTATTCCAGGGAGGCGTAGCTCTTAAAGATTTGCTTTTTTATTCGTGCCACTTAATGGCATATCAAACATAACAATGGGTGAGTGCCAACACAAACGTAAGAAGCTATAATTTATCCCAATTTTTACGAACATACTCAAATGATAGGAGATTCTCGACTGTTTGTTTTTTTTTCTCGCGTACTGAATTAAACAGATCATAAAATTATATAAATTCGTGGAAACTACAAAACGATCATTTGTAAGATTATCTTAATCTATTGTGTTGTTTTATTTACTGCCATAGGAAAGGTTCATTTAATATATGGTTTTACAGTAAAAATACACGCTGTATTGCGCTATACAGTGTGTATTTTTATTTTTAAAATTCATCTTCACAAGAAGATAAATTATTCAATTTGCGGAGCTTGATAATAAATAACAGATGCTTTTTCAGTCTTTGCCTAGAAATGAAGATAGACTTGCCAAAAAAGAATTCAAGGGGAAAGAATGGGAAGGATACAGGTGCACCATCCTTCATCATACTTTTGGATTGTAGACAATAACTAATCTCTGACAGGTTTAATATACTCGTCCAATTATGGATCACATTTTTTTTCAAAAATATTATTAGATATAAACTGCAAAGTGTGCTTGAAAGAAATTGACAAATACGTTACAATATCTCCAAATCTTGTAATTCAATACGCAATGGTTTTACTAAGCGGACGTGTAACCTCTGGACACGAATTTAAACGCGTAATTTTATTAGAACGTCTGTTTCTTCTGCTAACGAAAATAACTCTGGAGAGAATATAGTCTACCAAAAGTAGAACAAACTAAAGACGTAATTTATAACATCTCCATTGATTAATATTTATATAGATACAGTTTGATTAATATATTATAATACGTTTTTAACAACTGTTTTTAAATAACGTTATCTTTTCATATGTAGAGAATAAAAATAAAAAGTAGCGTAAATATAAAACGACTTTAAATCTCAAAATTTAAATGCAAAGACGTTAGACGATGTGACTTTTAAATTCGGTTCCAAATTTATCTTCTTCTTCTTCTTCTGCTAGCTCTACAGCCCTTTGTGGGCCTTGGCTTGGTCCAGCAACTTTTTCCACCTCGGTCTATCTCTGGCCACGGACTTCCAGTTTGCTATGCCCACATTTTTGCGTCCTTATTAACGCCGTCTATCCATCGGAGCTTTGGTCTCCCTCGACTTTGACGACCTTCGGGATTACTCGCCATAACATTCTTAGGGACTCTGGCTTCATCCATCCGCTCCACGTGGCCGGCCCATCTAAGCCTGTTCAATTTGATGTGTCCCGCCACGTGCAGCTCCTGGTACAAGTCATAGAGCTCTAGGTTGTACCGGCTTCGCCATTGGTTGTCTTCGCACACGGTACCAAAAATACGCCTAAGAATTTTCCGCTCGAACACCAGCAATGCATTCTCATCGCCTTTACTGAGAACCCAAGTCTCGGAACCATAGATTAATACAGGCCTCAGAAGTGTTTTATACAGTAGTAGTTTAATTTTTCCAAACTTTTAAATAATTTTTTGTGTATGTTCCTAATTTCCACAAGTATGAAATTAGCTTTTTTCCTATCTAAGGTAAGGAGGTAAATATTGTGATTGTAAGTATATACCATACGTAGAAGTGGGAGACTTCGCGTCGATCTAAAAGTTTTTTTTTTGCATAAATATATTGTTAGATGTAAAATAGATTGTTTTATTTTAAAAATAATGGTATGGTTCAATACTATTATATTATAATTATGCATTATACCACCAAAAAATCTTATTTATCAATCTATCTACTGAATGGGCGGAGTTCGGTGTATGTATAATTTCCTTATCGTCATAAACGAAGAGTTTTTTAGAAGACAATCTCTCAATCAGATTCCCAGTTTCCAGAATGTGGCAGACTTGGCGGACACAATAAAACAACATACCGCTGTATAGTCGAGCACGAAAGCATTTATTTTCAAGTTAAAACATATTATTTTACAGCCGTGCACAATTCTGTAAACAAACGAGACAGGGCGTGGGCGGCTGTAGTTTAGGAATACACCGGTCTCGCATATTTTCTTTCTAATCGATCTGTTTTTAACAAATCAACGAATGATAACGATTACAACAGCATGTGTTCGATAATAGCTACAGACTGACATCATAATAAGATGTTAAAATAATTTGTCTTAATTTTCATCATACAAGGAATTCGCCCCAGTGTCGCCCATTCAGATAGGTAGACAACTATAGGCTAATGTTACTCACTGATTTTGGAGATTTAGAAATAAAAACGGAATATTATTTTGATTTCAAAATATAGTTTTTTGAACGGAATAAATCCAAGCAATGTATTGTAGTGACAATCTAAGAAAACAATGATGACAAAAGTGGGATAAAGAAAATTCGTGCCACATTTGAAAAGGTAACCTTTTAAAAAGTTTTGGTTTTAAAATGGAAGATGTTGGGCAAAAATACATATTAAATTGACAAGCTGATGGAAACAGTTCTGTCCGTGTGTATTTCGGTAAAAGCTGCGGCGCGGAATTGTCCAATATAACGTAGAGCGCTTGGCAACTTTAGTATACGATCCCGAAATTTAGGTACGTCGTACAGTTGGTTGCCGAATAATCGGTTAAAAATAGACTATAGACAACAAAGCATTAACAAACGCTGGCCGAATGTTTTCGATTTTTTAATGTCGATACCGCGGTCTCCGTTGCTTGTTTAATGTGTCCGGAGATTTATAAAGAATTTAATCTACAGGTTGTTCTTAATTTAACATTCCGATAGCATTCCGCATGGGTGTGGTCGAGCACTCGTAAATTCGATTGCGCACAACTACGAATTGTGTATTTTAATTTGTTTACTGTTGTTAACACTAATTTTAAACAAATGTTACAGGAATTAGCTGCAATTTAATTGTCTTGGAACGTGACTAATGATGTTTCTAGCATTTTGTAGAATACTACTGTTACAGTTCTAGACCTTGAATTAGTATTTCGTGTAATTACCTAGTGTAAGCCATTTTGAATAGTTTTATTTTTTTATTCTTGTTAACTTTTTAGACCAGCTAGTTTCGCAACCATCGAGCTGAAAACACATTTAAAAACACGAGATTGTTAAGATAGTACATCAAAGAACCTGATATAAACGGTAAATTGGTAAACCTTTGATGTGTTTTCTAACCGTGAGTATCCACTGTATAATAAACATGTGTGGAAAGATAACACGATTTAATCATGGATATAATATTACATACAAAAACTAGTGCAATTGGAAATCGCAATAATTTTCGTCAACTATTTAAATTCTAATTGGTTTAGTAATTGTATAATCTACTACATTCCCGTTGTATGAAAGTTTAGTAATTACCTATATGATCCACCTCGGAGACAGGAAACTTGGACGGTATTCCGAAAAGCACAAAAAATGATAAGTATGAAAAAGGCACAGAGAAATTCTTTATATTGCTCAACCCTGAAACCCTGATACCAATAGATGTTCATTGTAAAATTATTTTTGTTTTATCTGATCTTAAAATGTAAACAGTGTAAAATATTATATTATAAGTATAACACATGTCTCATAAATAAAAATAAAATTAAAAGTTTTCTATCCACAACTCAAATCTGTTAAGAATAATATTATTTGTTTTTTACTTTATGACGGTACTTATACGTGCTATTTTTGTGATGGGCTCCCTGTAAAATTGATTATCTTGACCTTCTGTTAGCCCAGACGTAAAATAAGATCGTTATATCACAATAACCCATAAATCAAATTTTTATTAGCTAATTTTTATCGAAATTATTTTAATTTTGAAACGACAACTCTAAGGGATAGTCACCTCAGGATCTACTTTTGATTTCTTCTTCTTCCACTTTTGATTTTAAAATCTACTATTAAAATTTTACAATTTTCCGGCTTGTTTACTTAAGTATTACAATTGTCGTCTAAAAAATCGATAAAGCGTGGTTTTATTAGTAAGTCAAAAACTAAGATCATCGTAAATTAAATAAATGTATTTAGTTGGAAAAGCGTTTGAATAAAGTGTGATAAAAGCGATAAAGACGTGGCAATAAAACATAATGTATGAAGCAGTTTATCATTTCTAATATATTATTCGTTTTAAGAAAATAGCTACAGCACATTGTGTTTAGATCGAAGTCTGCGGCGTGTTTAAAATAAGAAAAAATTGCGTGGCTGTATTTGCTGTATCGTTTGCTGAGTATTGCTGGAGATTAAAAAAAGGTACCGATCCTATCGAACTGTCAAATGTCAAAGTCAAATTGACATTTGTTGCACTTGAGCCTTGAAGTTGAAGTTTGTTTTGTTTATTTTTAAAACTTTAAGACCATGTAAAACTGGTTTTACAACAAAATTGTGCATGGTTGTTAGAGACTAAAGTAATTAAGCTGTTATAAAACATTAAGTGTATATGTCATTACAATTGTGTGATAGTATAATTAATCTGGTGTTATGGTATTGACTATGAAAATACTTTAATAACTTGCATCACCTCCTACGTACTGTACATTCAATTTTTAAACATGGATAGTTACATCGTTATATCTTTTATTGGAGAAGGGTCTTTTGGTCGTGTATTTAAGGCAAAACACAAAGAGTCTGATGCTATAGTGGCTCTAAAAGTTATAAGAAAGGTATGTAACTCATGCAAAATTCTATAAATCAAAATTCTATAAATTTTTCTTTATAACTTTCATTTTATGGTTACAGAAAGGGAGGTCGCCGAAAGATTTAAAAAATTTGAGACAAGAATGTGATATTCAGCGGCAACTCAATCATCCCAATATAATAAGAATGATTGACAGTTTTGATACAGAATCCGAGTTAGTTGTTGTAACAGAATATGCTGAGAAAGAGTTACACAGCATACTTGCTAAGGAAGGTTGCTTAAATGAAGAACAGGTTAAGAAAATAACCTGGGATTTAGTGTCAGCACTATATTACTTACATTCCCATAGAGTTTTACATAGGTATGACATTTTTTTCATATATGTTATTTTCAATAAAACAACACATAAATTTAGTATAATAATATGTTAATAAAAACACGAAATGTCTATAATTGTAATTACAATTTTACTTACACTAAACATTTTGATTTAAAGATTTGTAATTTATATTTTTAAAACTTTTCCAGAGATCTGAAGCCTCAAAATGTACTACTGGATAGTTCTGGCCGAGCAAAGCTGTGTGATTTTGGTCTAGCTCGCATTATGACTAATGCTACACATATTCTGACTTCAATCAAAGGAACTCCACTTTATATGGCGCCAGAGTTAATTGACGAAAAACCGTATGACCATCAGGTATAATTAACATTAGTAATAATATAATAAACAAATAACTAAAGAAATAAAATAACTTTAGTGTCAATGAAAAAGGATGCCGTAGCATAAAACAATTATATAGAGAGCTAAATAAACAAATATAGAACTAAATTCTTAATTAATTCATTACTGAGTTATTTATTCACATTTGTTCTAAATTATCATGTTGTTTAATTAAAAAAATAATTGATTTTCAGGCTGATCTATGGTCATTAGGCTGTATCGTGTATGAACTCATGGCTGGCCAGCCGCCATTTTGTACAATGTCTATATGGCAATTGGTGCGTATGATACGACACAAGCCTGTACAATGGCCTAGTTTCATCAGCATGGAAGCGCGTTCATTTTTACAGGTATAACACTAATCATAAGATATTTACAGTTACAAAAAATATATATAAATGTATATAGATTATATTTTAAACCAATCTTTGTCACATTAAAGGTGTTCTTTTTTGCGTTTTTAATAAAAGAATATCTTATGTAAAAATGTAAGTTTGAATAATAGTTTTTCTAACATTTTTACTGCAGGGTTTATTGCACAAAGATCCCGGTAAAAGAATGAGTTGGCCTGAAATTTTAGAACATCCTTTTGTATTGGGACACATTCTTATACTGCCTGAGGATGTACAGAGTGAATCACCATTCACTAAACCACTAACTCATAGCCAACAGGAGGCGAAACAAATGCAAAGGGATAAAATAAGCAGTAATACTAAGTAATTATCATATTTATTAGAATTTCTACTAATTTGCAGATTTGATATTAAAAATTGATAATTTTTAATTCCAGAAATGCAAAATCTGAACCTGAGTCCGCCAAAACTGGAAGAGAACATGACTTACGGAATGCCAGAGGTGTTATGCAAGCTATGGAGTGTGTACCAATGTCTGATGATGATAGCGTCAGGGCAACAAGTGCATTCAGTGTTCGTGATAGTCTTAAAACTGATGACGAAGACCAATCGCAACCTATTACTGCTGTGAATGCTAAATTATTACGTCACGAATTCAATGTGATGAATAACTCAAATCTTGTTGTATGCCATCTTGAAAGGAACATGGCACAATTAATGGCCGCTAATCCAAAACATGAAAATAAAATGCATAAAATTGAAGAAGAAAAACATGATGTTAATAAAGCAATTGATGAAATTGAAACTTTTAGTGATGTACAAGATATTGTTGAAGTTAAGCAGAAAGTAAAATCTGTGGATACAGCATCCCATAGCCTTGAGAATCCTAAAAGTTCAACAAAATGTAGTAGCGATGTTAGTTCTGGCTTAAGTAAAAGTGTTCCGCCGTCTTATAAACAGAAAATACTGCAATTTTCAAGGGACAAACTTAGATTTGGTAGTGGAGGTAATAGATTAACACGAAGTATAAAAAGGTCATTCCACTTTAGTAGAAGTTTGGATAAAAATAAACCGGAAGGACGTCGTACCAGTGAACCGAATTTAGAAGTTTCAAGTATCGTAGATAAAGACAAAGTGGTCAGTTCTAAAGAAGACAAAGATGAAGATATTGAGAAAATTGAGGTTATAGAGGAAACTGAAGATGTTATTGAAGCTGATAATGATTCCGTTCTTAAAACTGACAAAAATGTTGAAGGTGTGTATTTGCATATTATGTAGCTGTCGCCCGCGACTCCGTTCGCGCGGAATGAAAAAAAACCTAAGTCTATGTCAAATTTCAGCGAGATCCATGTGGCCGTTCTCGATGTACCTTCAAATGGACATTCAACCAACCTTTTATACATCCATCTAAACATTCGCATTTATAATATTAGTAAGATAGTGAGATTTATGAAATCAATAATTTAGGGAAAATAATTAAATTGTATTAATTTGTAATGTATTACTGTTTACAGTGAAAGAGCCGACAACAATGGAATTAGAAGAATGGGAAGCATTTCTCAATTCCAACATAACTGAGGTCATGGACGGAGATGTTGAATCACTTACACAACTGAACATGGTAACTATATGAACACACTTTGATCCTTTGCATGAAGAAATCTTACTAATATTATAAATGAGAATATTTTGATGTATGGATGGATGTTAGAAGTTATCTCCGGATTGACTCAACGGATCTCAATGAAAGTTGACAAGGAGAAGAACATAGCCTGGAAGAACCCTTAGGCTACTAATCTTGTGATGTTTTGTTAATTGTGTTGTAATAGTTAAAGGTTTTTTTTTTTAAATTCTGCGTGAACGGAGACTTAGGTTCACATATTCTCTTCTGACAGTTGAACTTCACTGTCGTGTCATTTGAATTGATAGACTGATAGATATAGTCATCTCTGTCTGTCTCATAGACTATGATTGATGATGATAAAGATGTGTGTACATTGTGGTACATGTTGCAGGTGAGCATGGTGGTGGGTGTGGTGGGGGTGGCGGCGCGAGGTGGGCGTGGAGCGCGCGTGTGCGGCGCGGTGGCGGCGCTGCTGGCGTTGCCCGCGCTCTCACACGCGCTACCTCGACACACGCTGCTCAATATACAGGATGTTAGTTTGTCTATACTTATTTTATTACAATTTTCATGTTTGGGACAATTAAAGTAACTACTGCACCGATTTGAAACTTCTTTCACCTGGAGGGATAGATTCAAAATACGTCTTACGTCTAGATATTTTTTGGATTTATTTATTAAGAAAGAAATTAAAGTCTTAATATGAAGTTAGGTTGATTGTTTTTTTTAATTCCAGGTATATTTAGAAGCGAAAGTGGTATATAATTTCGTGGCCGCCATAAACTCACTGATGAAAGACTGGAATGATAGCGATAATGAAGCTGAAGACAGGTACGTTAACTAGTTTGTAACTGGTGAATATTAGTATGCGAATTTTGATTTTGGCCTGTTAAATTCTACCATTTTTTTTCTCTAAAATTCCAATTAAAAGTTTTTTTTTATTTTAAATTCAGAATGTCGTATGTTCATTATATTTGAAGAAGAAATTGTAAGTTGCAGAGTTTGCGGTGCGGGGCGCATGTTGGAGGTGTGCGTGTGGCTGTGCGTGCGGTCGTGCCGCGCGGTGCGTCAGCTCGCCACCGCGCTCGCCGCACACAGCGCGCACACTGTATTCACCAAACTACTCACGCTTTGTAAGCATCCATAATATTAACATCTAGGTAAAATAATAGGAACGTTTTTAGTGGTGAGAACTGAAAAGTCTAAATAGATGGCGCCAGCGTCAAGAGTCAGCTGTCATCTGTCAGCTGTCAAAGTTTTAATATGTCATTCTCGCGTCATTTTTTAAATAAGAATTATAAAAGAGCTCCGAGTTGTTGCTATTATTCCAGTCCATAGAGAACTTTGTGTTTTGTATATAAAGTGTTTTTTGTATACCTGTCGTGTATTTAGTCCTACAGCCATGCTTAATCATGCTGACATCTAAAGTGAGCACAAGGCAGTTTTTCATTTAAAACAAAAAAAAAGCGAGAATTCTGGAATTAAAATGTCTAAGAAATTGGTAAAAATGTATTATTATCGTACTAAAGATTGTGAAAATTCATTTAAACTTTTTATATTTCTTAAGGTGTACTTACTTTTTATTTTATACGTTCTAGCATCAAGATCCCCGCGCATCGTTCAAAACACAGTCGGTCTACTAATCACGATTCTCCAGGATCTCCCAGAGCACGCTGATGTCGTAGAGAAGATATTATTCGATGATTCTTTTAACTTCTTGAACCTTCTAGAACAACCTAGCGATGCTCTACGCATGAGAGTTTGTATACTTATCAGTTTATTATGTACTTTCTCTTGTACAGCTTTCTCAGCGGCCATGGAATCTAAATGGAGTAAGAAAGAAAGCGATTGCTTAGAAGCTTTGCATACACATTGCAATATGACACTCAACAGAGCGGCAAGATTGGCGACTAAAGAGTTGAATAATATGCCATTTTATGTTAGCTGATCTAGACAATACTTTCGTATCTCTAATATAAGATAACATATTATAAGACCGAAAACGAGGAAGCGGCCATATGAATTCGCCGAAGTGACCGTTGCCCATTGACATCTACAAGTGCGTTGTCTTTTTATATTAATACTAGCTGTCGGCCCCGACTCCGGCCGCGCGGAATTACAAAGAAACTTAATAAGTAGCCTAAGTCTTCTTCAGACTATGTTCTACTTGTATGTCAAATTTTATCGAAATCCGTTGTGCCGTTCCGGAGATATCTTGAAACAAACATCCAACCATCTAAACTTTTGCATTTATAATATTAGTAATAACATAAAGAAAAGAAGTGGTTTGTAGATAGAACAAATTGTTTACGATGCACAATATATTTCCACTGATGGAATATTCAAAGAAAACCTCTTGTTACCTCTTTGATTGTCTTCGAAAGATCTGAAATGAGAATTTGTTTTATACGGATGTTATTGCAGTGGAAACCCACGCTATTTTAATAAAGAATCGAATTGAAAATTTACTGCCATTACATTAAAGTACAATTAGAATTATGATATATTATGCTTATTTTATTTACATATAAGAGTATATTTTGACTGTGACAAACGATTTACCGTGGGTTCCTGAGATATCTCGACAGAAAACATATTATCATCCATGTCATTTTCTTTGACAAAACAGATATAACAATATGTTTTAGACGGGGATTTTGGTCTCAGAAACCCACGATAAATCTTTTTACTACATGTACACCAACTACATTACATGAAATAACTTTTATACTCTTTTTTGCAATATTATGTAACTTTAAGATCAGCAATAATTCGTATTTGTAATAATTCACAGTTCGAATAGTACTTAATACCAAAGCTGTGAATCTCAGCCTTGATTTTTTGATAATTTTGAGTAACAATTACATTGCATATTTGCAGTATTTATTTAAGACTCATTATACACTTTTTTATTTGTTAATTAAGTAAAATTAAATATTGTATAGTGCCATAAATAAATCATATATAAAATATTCATAATTAATAATTGTGTTTCATTATCACTACGAAAAAGTTTTTGTTCAACTTTTGTGTACGCAAAATACGAAAAATATTTAAGTACCAACCCCGTCACTAACGGATATCTTGATTTATGTCAAAATATAGAAATACGTTAAAAGTATAATTCCTTTTGTTTTTTTTAAATTAAATGGACATGAGACGTACCAAGATCGCCCACAGTGATAAACACTCGTTTATATTCCTAATGAGTCGCCTTAGAACAGATGTATAATAATCAATAGGTTTAAAGACAATCGAAGAATAATAACTACGATCTTAACTGAATCATAGATCAATCCGGACACGTGACCTAACGCCATTAAATTTATATATCACTAGATGTCACCCGCGACTCTGTCCGGGCGGAATTAAAAAATATAATTAGCCTATGTGTTCTTCCAGACTATGATCTGTATGTATGACAAATTTCAGCGAGATCCGTTCAGCCGTTCTGGATCTTCAAACAAACATCCATCCATCTGAACATTTGCATTTATAATATTAGTAAGATAAGAAAACCAAGGGGTATCATAAAAAGTAAGCTGTGTATTATAATACATAGAATCAATCGGCCTAATAAAAACACCCGTGTCACTGCAATAAAGTTTAATGATAACAACCTTCGCAAAAGACAAGATTCCTTATTTAACTGTGTGCTTGAACTGTAAGCGGTGGATGCACTTCGTGGTTTAGTCTGTGCAAGTTACATAAGGGAGGTGATCGCCCGACCTCGACTAGCGCGTGCGTTCACCGCCCAGAGTGCGCGTGCGCACCTCATAAATAAACTAGCAATTAGCCTTAACATTATATTTTAGTCATTACACACAGTTCATAGACTAACACTCAGAATCGGTTGATGCTTAATTAAGCAGTCCCTCTCTTAGTAGATTACTCATTTAGAATGCGGCAGTTAGTTTATGCTTTCAGCAGCATTAATATTCAAAATTGCCTCAAAATAAATACATACAGCTGCAAAATTCGCAAAAGGATTATATGGCTATTAAACTATATCTCAGTAGTTATATATCTTTGATTTTCCTATTACATCTGTTGTTGGATATTTAGGTTCTATGACATCCTTGAATATGAAACAACTCTGTAAACAATTTATAATAAGGGCAGAAAATTTTAAATAACCGTGACGTCAATGAAATGATTCTAGCTACCCATCTGTGAATGATTAGGGAGCTAGTCTAAGCTACAATGCGCAATTAACAGATTATGTCTTCGTATGTCTATAATAATCGCATTGTGTTGTTGAACCTCGCAGTAAGATCTAAATGGCAGTGCTAAGTACCACTATACAGACGTACTTAAATGAAGGATACTTATGCACCCACTTATGGTTGTATTTAAATTGTACCTGTATTTATAATTTATAAGATAAGCAAATGAGTAAAGAAACATAATTTAATTATATGTATATAAATCAGTGTTTAATTAACGCCATCTTCCGTATACAATGACGTAACAATAAATGTAGTAAAATAAAAAAAGTAATTAAAAACGAAAATAAGTAGTTAATATCACATATTTATATCTACGGAAATTGCATTCTCTTTTGCTTTAACGAACGAAAAATATATAATAATCGATAGCAAATGTTTAATACTGTATCGCTTCCTCTCGAAACATGAAATTTACTAAACAATTCTTACATTAAGTTCAAGTACAATCGGCCTCTTTGTGGTAAGGAAACAGGGAAAAGTATTCATGTTTTATTAAGGAAAAAGTTAGCTGTCACAGCAAGGACTAGTGGACATTTGGTCAAATGAGAGTTGGCAGTAAGTGATAACTCAAATCAAAATTCGACTACAAGTGGAGCTGAAAACCTCTTGAAAAAAGATAAAGTAACAATATTTCTTTTTGCGTGCCAGTCGTAAGATGCGATTATGCAACGTAAGTATGATTGGAACAATTGACAGCTGTAATCTACACATCACAGTTTACGAAACAAACAGTAATGTATAACCTATATTCTAGAAACACATATCAGTAAGATAATTTGGAAGATTACGGTATAGTCAACCGATAGCGTTCTTTTTTCTGTATTGAAATTTCGTATAAATAAGCCGATCACGTCGGTGGTTGAGCGATCGGCGCGGGTTCGTTGACCCATCGTATTCACTGTACCATTGGGTCATGAGTATTTTGACAACGCAGCGCGGAAATTATCTAATCGGCACGCGGCCGAGAGGACGGCGGGTCAACGACACCGGACCGTTCGCCGTGGCCGGACCGACTCGACGAAAGTGAAATGTGAAATGAATATGGTCGTACAGATAGCGCCAATTCGTATGACCGAATTCGTTTATTGGTAGTGGGTGTGATTGCCGCGCCACTAGCTCTCCCACTGTTCGATGGGATCTACGACCTAACTGGTCAACGGACATGGTATATTTAGACTTGGACAATTTAAAATTTACTTACATGAGAACTAATGATTGCAAGATCTTTTTCTATAATTTCACTCTTGCGATATATTGGTGCAGATGAATGGGAAAAGAAATATAAAAATTCTCAGATTGTTCAATAAATTCGCGCGGTCTCGCATACAAAACGACATGACGGACTAATTGTTATAACTTAGCTAGCCAGTTCGATATGGTTACTTGTTCATTAAATAATTATTAAAAATAATGTTCATACATTTTTTTAAACATCTTGTAACCGCAACGTAGTTATACAGATTATAGATTCTAGGATATGAAAGAGGTCAATGACCTTTCGAATTTTTATCGAAAGATTGCATATCACATTAGAATTATAACACAATTGCCAATGATCTAGCTTGGGTTGAATTTAGTTTGTTCTACATTTACACACTTATAGTTCGATAACGTCGATTAACAAAGTTAGCGAGCAGAATTATTTGTAATAGGTACCGGAGGATTGCCATCTTTTAGTATTAATTTGCTTAAAAAGAATCAAGAATCGGCAGCTGCACACTGCGTTTCCTTTGATCTATGAGCTATGGGTAGACTCTTTAGGCATTTTACGGCAAAAAGGGAGGCCTTTTTGTGTTTTCCTATCTTCTTACTACTGTTAATATTGTGATGTGACATATGATTTTTTTAATTATTTGATTTTAGTGAATGTTTATATATCGATACCATCACTTAAAATCTACGGAGCCTCTTGCTAGTTACCTTTTACCGTCCGAACGTCATAAAAACATGTAAGTAATTACATGAGTATTATATTTATACAACTAGTAACGTGTCAAATTTAAAGCCGAGTTAGCAAGTTGCATTACATTCTGCAGTGTATACTAGATTAGAGTTCACTGACCGATAGCTTAATTACGCCAGTAGTAAAATTTCTGTTATATTTAATCAAGAATTGCGTTACTTCGTTACTATAACTATCAACGCTGGATTTTAGCTCTTATTATAAAGCAATAAGAAACTCAAATATAGATCACGTGTACTAGTACAACAAAATTAGCACGTGTCCGCGGTGTTGACATAAATTAAACAGTTTACAAATACAAATCAAACTTGTAAAGATTATATTATCTATATCAAATTAAATACGATTTTTTATATAATTTATCTTTAGTTATAGGTAAAATTAAAAACATAAAAACAGCATGAGGTAAAGAGAACATAACATTTTACACATTACCTCATGACATTTTACATATTTACACATTAACTCGAAGTCAACAACGTGCGCCATTCAATCACGTTTGAACGAACGTCCTTGCGACAGCAATGAACCCGGAACAGCGCACCTATAACAGATAATAGGTATAATGTTATCCAACCATGATTGCCACTTATGCAAGTCCTTCAATGTGGATAACGACACGACCTTCGCGGTCGATGCCCTTTCTAGGCGAGCTAGTGTCATTCACCTGTTACGTTTTTAAGCTTCGCCTGCACTCTGTTTACACACTGCGACTTATTTCGCAAAACAAAACAAATGCTTAGTCTTAAATTTTTGTTTATCATCTAATCTATTTTATTAAGTACTTTTTAAATCATCCATATTTTTCCTCTATTTTTAATTTAAAATTGTTTTCTTTTACCTAATGTTAACTTACTTTATTGCTTAATTTAAGCATTTCACTTTAATAAGCTGTACAAAG